TTTTATATTCTTAGACATGCCACTTTGGACTAGAACTGAAGAAAGGGTAGAAGAAAAAAACACTACTAAAGAAAGAGAAGGGGGTGATGGTGGGAGACATGGCGATTTGTTTTTTTATAGGCGTGTCCTGTTATCAGTCACAGTACTGTAAAGGTGAGGTTTCAGTACAGCATTAATAACTGACAGTTGTTGTTAACTACTGTGGAACACTAGATAACCTTACTGAGAATCTATACCCAGATCTTAGGCAGCAAAGTAATGAGTCCCAGTGGAATGAAAGCTCTGGCCTCCTTTGTTGTAGCTATTGATCTACTGATGTGATTTAGATAAGGGAGGAAGAGATAATGGCATTGATTATTCTATTTAGGAGCCAGACCGAGACTAAACTCAGGTACAATACATGATGAGAAAAAAAAAACCCCCACTCAATCATTCCTTGTCTTTTCTTTGCAGTTCAAGGCAACATGATGTGGTCACGGTAGCAGGGGCATACATTTTGATAAACATTCAGGCTTGGGTTTCAGCGACACTTTGATGTAAATAAACCCGTGACATTTCTGAATCTGCTTTATAATGAGTGGTATTGTTTCCATTCAACAAAGCACTGCAGGCATAGAGTATTTTTATGCCAGCGAGATTGGCATGAATCTGGGATGGAAATCTCACCCTGACAAATAAATATGCATAGCTAATTTCACTTTACATTTCCCTTTGCCATTGTAGATGCCAATGAACTTAAGTTAAGTAGTTTATAGGGCTGAATCTTAAATAGACTTAGAATGCATGCATCTGCCCATAGCAAGGTGTAATTACTGTGTCAGGATTTAACATCAGATCATCTAGAAAACAGGGGGTAAAACCCTAGACTTTAGCTCAGGGTGTTACAAAGGAAACTGTTAATTTTTAGAAATGGATATTAAGCAGATCCCATTGAACTTAGAAGCTCTAAAAAGACAGAACACCATTTGTATCACTGTCAAAGTGGTTCATATTAAACTGCCTCTGAATACTGTAATGGATTACAGCAGCAGTTCTAGCAAGGGAACTCTGAGAAGCAGGATGGACTGATGATGATATTCTGCTCCCTTGGGATACTGTCCCAGTGCTACAAAGCAGCATATAATTACAATGTCCCTTTCCCCATAAGCAGTCTTCTACTTCTAAGAGCTAAGCATTCTCTTCAACTGTAAGAAACTGTGAGTCTGCTGCTGTCCAAGGTGTAGGTTCAGCCTGAGTACAAAAGTAAAGGTATTATCATGCTAATGATACTCTTCTTGGCTTCTGTGGTTGATCAATGTTTGTGTAAGAAGGAAAGAAAAATGATCTGGTGGCTAAAGCATAGGGCTGGGAGCCAGCCCCCGCCCCCCTCCATTCAGTTACCTGACACAATGAATAGTTTCTGTGTGCAACTGTATTTCACTTCATCTATGCATCTATGCAACTCAGCTTCTGATCATGATACAGAGGAAGCAATAATTCTTTGGAGAATTGGTGCACTTCATGAGCACCAAACAGAGTTGGTCTGAAATTCTGGTCAGATCAAACGTGTTGGTCTGAAACAAAGCTTAATGGAACATGCCAGTCAGTTGAGCTCCAAATATTGTGGTTGAAATATCATAGCTCTAGCAAAGTTTTGCCAAATTCAAGACAGATTTCCAAGGGGAAATTCTGGCCCTGGGACAGTCTGTTGATTGGATGACCTCTGTCCAGCCAAGCAGTGAAACTGACTTTCACTGTTGCTATTAAGGCATGAGTGTCCACTTCCAGTCCAGTTTGGACAAAAAGCAAATTAAAAATGGAATCTGAAACTCACTGAGAGCCAAAAGACCTACTTTTTGGCCAGCTCTCATGTGAAATTTGTTGAGACTCTGAAATAGAACTGTAGGGTTAGAAAGGGATGTCAAGGGTCATCCAGGCTTACCACCTACATGAATGCAGGATGGAAGGTGGTACAAAGGAGTAACAAATATCATTGAACAAAAAAGGATAGGAAATTCTGCCATCACTGCATTATTATTTCTTCAGGATAAACTCCCCCTGGCTTTGGGGTGTTCACACCATTGCTGCACTGATCTGCAAGTTCTACACATGAAAGAGCTGGCCAGCTCTTTGGAAAATTATTATAACTATGCATATGTGCATAGAAATCTTTAGAAGCTGGCAGAACTCCCCTCTCCACCTCAGCCTCCCCTAGGATGACCCCCAGACCCGCCTTGTTGCTGTAGCATACCATAGACAGATTACAACCCTAAACCCAGGTATCTCTACTACACAAACCACCAAATAATTTTACAGCTCCTTGAAACATTAATGAAAGAGAGATCAGAGTCACCCCCTACATATAGCCATTGAAAGAATGGTTAAACAATAGGTGCCTCAAACCACAAGGCATGGGATTCAGTTTTGGGAGCCTGTAGGTGTGCTTGTTGCATGGGAAAAATCTTAACTTGCACACAATAAACTTTTAACTCAGAAGCCTTGGAAAGCATGGTGTTTCCCATTTAGTTAGAAAATGGATTGTGTTGTGTTGGAGAGAGAAATATAACTTGCTCACTTTGTACTGAGCTGTATTGACCTCTTTTTCTGGGTTATGATTTAAAATCAGAGGGGCATGGAAAACTCTAATGTCCGGGACTCAATCTCCAGCCCCTGTCTAGAGACCTACAGTGATGGAAATAGATGATTCAGAGCAAAAGAGCAAATTGACCTCTTGGAATTCATGAGAAAAGATGTATTTTGAAATTTCTTTGAAAAGCAGCAGAAGTAGCTGATGTCCACACAAAATCTTTGGGAAAGCTCCTCCTCTAGTATTGATTGCTATAGCTCCAGTTTGCACTCAGCGAAGGTCTGCAGAATTGGAACAGAAATCTCCATGGAGATGCATTCAAATGCTGTACCTGTGCTGCGAAACATTGCATTAGAATGTGCTTGAAATTTGGGGGCAGCTTGTATCTGGGTCTGATTCCAATATAACTTTATAGCTATAGACTGTTGATCCTTGGTTTCAAAGTGGTTCCATACTTTGCAGCTCTGATCATCTTCAGGTTTTATACCTATCCTATCTCTGCCTGCCTGAATAACAGCAACTTGACATGGAGGTGTCACATTTATTTTCAGCTTTGCTTTTCTGCTGATAGATATTCCAGCAGAGGTTCGTTTTTAAGTGATGAGTTTTAGCGCTTCTGGGGATTTTGGCTATGAATTTTGAAAGTCTTAAAATGAAGCTGAGAGCTGAGGCAGTTGATCAGTCTCTTCATGTCCAGATAGCTGCAGAGCAAAGTAAGATGCTAGACAAAACTGAAATCCTCACCACTGATAAATATCTTTAATTCCATTCAAATGTGTTCTTGCTCTGAGGCTATTTGTAATTGAGTGTTTCAATTCCATCATCAGTTGTTCATCTTTTTTCTTTTGCTGTTTGCCAGATCTTCCAAAATTACTATTTTTTTTCATCTCCTTAATAATTTATCTGAGCCTCCATAATTATCACAGGGAAAAGAAAACAAAGTCCTTTAGTGTGATTGCTGTCTGTTTATAGACTGATTCTAGTGCTATGGCAATTGGCACAATGGTTCGATTGGTCAACAGACTCAGTCAATCAGCAGCATTGCTAGGAGTTGATTAGGACACCCCCAGTCCTCTACCATGCTCTCTGTCAAGCATGCCAAGATTTTAATTTTTTTTAACTGAAAAACTTAAACATTTCTTAGAGCTCTGCATTTAATTTATGCATAATTCCTTGATAATGATCTCAGCTATATTATTTCTAAAGGCATTTTATAGCTTGCTGTTTCTTATTGTCCAGTATAAGAAACCTATTCCTTTCCTTCTCTCAGATTCAAGATGATATGATGACCATTATCCTTGCACTTCAGACAGCTACTTCTCATTTTGTTCCCCTATTTTTTTTTTTTTTTACAAAATGGTATGTACTGTTTTTGCACCTATAGTTTCCAGTGCTCTTAATAGCCACAGTAGGACACTGATTCCAAGGGTGATATGACAGCACTAGACAATACCATGGCATCTTCTGTGTTTTGGGGGACAATATACTGGCCTGATAGAATTTACTATTGTTCACATGCAGTTCAGCTACTCCAAATACTATAAGCAAAGAGCCGTTCTTTCCTTTCTCTCCCTGCTAAATCATACCATATCGATTTTGGAGCCAAACTTCTTTAGACAAGGAAATGTATTTTCACGTGTTTGCACATTACCTAGCACATTGGGATTGCAATCCTGATCAGGATCTTGGGGCAAGAACACATTGTAGCAAGCAGTTCAAGTGTTCACTGCACCAATTAAACTGTAGATAATGTTCTCCCTAAATATTTGAACAGGTAAGTGTTTCTAAGAAATTTCCTAGATCTCTTCCTTACCAGACACTTACACTGATAGTTGTACTCCTTAAAATATCCCCCATCCTTCTTGAAAGCTGAATAGTTTAGTTTTCTTTGGCTTCTCAAATGTATGAAGTATGTTTGCAAAATACAAAAAAGTCAAACCAAACCCAAAATAATAAACCCAAGCCCAAAATTAACAGATATTGATTTTGCTTCTATTGCCTAGTACCTACTACTGCCAAGTACCCAGTTCTGTCCTTTTTTTGAAGTATATTTCAACAGCTCTTTCATGCCACATACACAATGGAGTAAGTTGTGATATATATTTTTCTTTCATTTTGGGTAAACTTGCAGAAGTATGGCTAAGCATAAATAAGCTGTCACAAAAGTATTAGCCAAGACTAGCCATGACTGGGTATACATCAGCTTCTATTATCTGCCTTTCCTTTGGCAGTTATACAAAGTGTTACTTATTCTCCCTCTTTGTGCTTTTAACGCCACTGAAATGATATGGAAAAGTGGCAGTAAATTATTAAATCAGGCCATGACTTTGGCCTGGTTACCAGGGACAAACTGGAAACAAGTTTGTTGCCATGTGAATGGGTGACAGGAGTTGCAAATGAGCTTCCTGTTCTGATATGTCTGTATTTACTGTACTAATGCTCATTTTCAGTAGCATTGCCGGGTTACTGGGCACTACATTTTCTACTCCTCATCCAGTCAACTGACCTACCTTTACTTACTGACAAGCTGTTACCTTGCACTGGTAAATGCCATTTAGTTTAATGACTTTTGTTTAATGTTCCACCTCTTTCCAGTTACTAGGCCTTCTGGATAAACTTGGTAAAGAAGTTTAGTGAATCAAAAAGTAATAGTATGCTTTCTCTCAAATGCCTTGAAGCTGATCTCAAGCCAGTGTAAGTCAATGGGAAGATTCCCTTTGACTTACACAAGATTTGGATGTGGCCCACATTCATTTGGGAAATGGCTCGGATTAAAATGCTATTAAGATGAATAAAAAAAATTCTGTTTTGATTTATGGCCTATCTTCAGGGAAAAGACATTTATTTAGATTATAGTGAATCTGTTTTATTTAAACACCAGTGAAAAAGACAAGTATCTATTTTGGAAAAAAACCAAAGAATATTTGGGAATTTAACAGATTAAATTTGAGAAACCAAAAATTGTGTTGAAAGCAGGCAGGGTGAGTAGGAAGGAAGAACAAGGTTTGTAAGAACAGAATATTGTTTAATATAAAGATTTCCTGTATACTTAGCAAAGCTCTTAACATTCAGTTTTCAGGACAGGTTTGTGTTTTGTGCGGTATGTGTTTGCATGAATGAATATAGGATGGAGATAACCAAGGAGCAGACGCCTGTATCCCAGAGGGACCATATTTTTAGTTTATCATAAAACAACTATTGAATAATTGCAATGCTAACGTTTCTGCACATCTAAAGGCCATACAAATGGCCAGCAACTCTACAGAGAATATTCCACACGGATTATGCATGCATGTGGGAAGGGGAGTTGCAGGGAAAGATCACAAGACACCATGTCTTAAGTTTAATAACCCATTTAATATTGCCTTTCAGTTCCATTTCATGCTCAGTAAAGCAAGAATAACTGAACCTTTCACTGGCATTGGCCTTGGATGAAAAGCTTTTGTTTTGAAAGCTTCAGTTACAAAGCCTTATCGTTGTTGGCAATTAAGGTATACTACTGGTGTGCAAGCAGGATTTTCCAGTGATATATTCCATACTACAACAAAGCAATAATTCCTGTTCCTAAATAAGGATATTCATGTTATTTTCTTTTCAAAACAGGTAAAAGGTGAAGCATGCACAACTTTACCCTTCCCCTATCACCTTCTTTCATCTTTCTTGTAATGACAAATAGTGGTTGCACATGAGCAAAGGGCAAAAGTGACACAGATGTGCTGAAGTAAGCAAAACCCAGTGTACTGTCCCATCAGAAAGGTTAACGGCAAAAAGAAGCAAGACATCTAAACTCATGACATGTTAAAATGCTGCTTTAAAAAAGGTTAATGGTTATAGCTCCCAGTGCTTGCTTAAAGAACAAACTGCATTGGGACTCAGCCAACCAAGTGGGAAGGATATAAAAGGAAAGAGCAATGACTTGAATCAAAGATTACAAATTCCACCCTTAACACAGCAGATAGCAAAGGTTTATAGCTTTGTTATGCATACAATACTACATACCATTATTTTATATTGCTTGTAAGGAAAATGATTTGATCAGTAGATTAGGGAAATTGTTCACATTTTTATTTCGGATCCATTCTTGTGGCATAAACAAAATGAGAAGACACTAATTTGTAAAGGAATTTCATGGTGTCTGGATTAGTATTTGTAATATAAACTGGTTGTAGCCCTGCAACTCAGAAGAAAGGGTGGCAAGTAATTACATGACAGTTACTGTATTTGCTTTTTGCCTTGGCATTCCCTTATGGTGAGTATCTTCTTTCATTTTGAAAGAACCAATTCAATATGTTAACAGTAGTTAAAAATATGTAACATCATGCCAATATCTCATTAGCCATCCATAGTATTTTTATTGTAACCATCATTAACAAGTTAACAAACAAGATATAATGAAACATGCCACAGGAAGCTACTCAAAATCGTTTGCCTTATAAAAACAGTGTCTAATTTGGGGTCAAGTCAAATTGTATCGAATACCTGCGGAATATACAGGAGTTGACTTAAAACAGAGGGGTAACCTACTGGAATAAGGTAGGGTGCTCTGTGTAAAGTACCTGATGCTCTTACACTTCTCATTCCATTTACTTCTTGCACAATTCAGGATTTGTGGCATCAGTCACATACACAGTACTAAAGATAAATGGTGAAAACTTTGGCAAGAAAAAAATGACCAATATCAACACAGAAAGATAAACATTGGCCCAGAATGCTGCAAGTTCCATAAGATTTATACTGGCTTTTGCATGAGGGCGAATGCTTCTCTGAGAGTGGAAAACAGCCAAGCACATCATTGCACAGAAGGCAGAGAGGATGGGGGTGAGCTACTACTTGGGGAACCGAGAGGACTAGATCACCCCACTCTGGGGGGAAAGGAAGCCAGGGCACATGTTGCCCTTAAAAAGGGCTTCATTATTTCTTTACATCATCATAGGCCTGTTTCATCATGAGTTCTCTTATCTCGTCAGCAAGTCCAGAGACTTTTAGGGAGGTCTGCCCAAGCCTGTGCTCAACTCAATAAGCTCAATACCTTTTGTTTCATGTGATTTTCACTTCTCTTTATCCCTTCTCTGGAAATAAAGCTTGCTAAACATTTTTTCCCCAACTATTTAAGTTGGTCTAATAAAAGATATCAGATACACCCAAAGAAGATTGTCTGTCTATGTCCTTAGACCAACACGGCTACAACCTACACCCCTCAGCACTGCTAGCATTCCAAGCCTTGACTGCTGCCCTATTTTCTGATGCTCAGAGTAAGCTAATTCTGGCTAGCTTTGGGATATATACCCCAATCTTCTCCCATTCCCAGCAGTCTCTCTGAGGATTGATGGTTAATTGGAGCCAGCTGATTATAGTTTTCCCCTGTGTGACAGCTTACTCTATTAGAAGGAGAATGTGTGGCAACCTTGCCAGCCCACTTGGATGACAAAGGATGGCCAAAGCTGCAAAACACAATTATCAGAAGATATTAATTTACTTTACAGTCTTATTTGAAGGGGAGGGTTGGGCTCAGAAATTAAACTAACATTTCAAGAGAAATATAAATGCTTCTGAGGAAGGAAAAGGATGAGTAGCTAAATAACCTAGGAATTCTGCATCAACAAATTTTAAACTGTCAAGTTACTTTGATTTAAGATTTATAAGTGTCCATTATATTTGATTTTGGAACAACAGTTGCTCAAAAATCATTATGTCAAATATGCCAATCAACTTAGTAATAAATAATTAACGGAAAAACCGTCTGAAAAGGTACATATGGGACTTCATGTGTGAAAAGTTAAGTGCCTGAAAGTCTGTCCAAGAAACTATAATGGTTACCTTTCCACTTCTGATTACTTTTGGTTTCTCTCCATTTCCCAACAAAGTCCTTAACTGTACAGCTAGTTATTTTTTGAACCAGGGCTATGTTTATTTGAAGACTGAAGACTGTATACTTTTGTGCAACCACATGTTAATTATCACTAGGTAGAGAATTATTTGAATGGTGATTCTGTGTATAGATAAAGCCCCCAACTTCCAATATTACTCTGAATTTGTTGTATTCTATAAGGATGTTTATAATGCTCTTTTCTTTTGGCCTTTTTTAGTTTAGTTTTTGTTTTATTTTTGCTGCTGCCTGGGTCTCTCAAAGTTACCTTTGAGCTGTGTGTGAGTAACATGTTATTCTATGACATTGTGATTTGGTATAATGCATACATCAAGATCATGTGTGGAAAAAATAAAAACCTGATTGATATGTCTCTATAACAAGAGAAACCTCCTTCGTCTCTAATCAGTGCTTTGGAGAAGCAGTACTTAGAGAATTCCTATTTACTCAGAAGTAAAGCAATCTTCAGACTGATTTGTGGTGGTAAAAGGAAGATTATTAGAAGGGATTTCATTGACTGAGCTTATGGAACCATTAATACTTTACACCCCCTCACAGTCATAGAGAAACTGTTTTGCAACCTCAACTATATCAGGTGTGACCAAGTGCCTACTATAATACCATGATTGTGCTTTGATAGATGGCTTAGAGACTTTTCAGAAATAAGGTGACCTTCCAATAGTCTATCCAAGCCTCTCTCCCCTCAAATTGCTGATAAAATCCCAAGCAAAAGATTTCCAACAGAAGGACAATGTTCAAACTGTATCTATTTTCTTCTTCAATCACATCTGTATCTCCATCTTGCTAAATTTCTCTTTCAGTAATTATTTTGCCACAATGTTGCCCTTTAACTTCTGTAAAGAGCTATTATTTCCATTCCAATGTGACTGTAAGGCTCCATGTCATTTTTCAGCATTTTAAATAAAACCCCCCTACAGTGTATAATATGGCTACTTTTGAGGAAAACTTCTTATTTTGCTTCCTGAATTTAGCAGTTTACAAGTTTGGTATTATCTTATTTGCTAGAGATTTTGGGTTTGGACAAAACTGTCTAAATTTAGATTACAATCGCTAAACTTGCTTAACCAAAAAAAAAAAAGCTACCAACACTGGCCACACAAACATACACCACGTGGTGGATACGACATAGAAAAGAAATCAGAAGACAATCAGCTGAAAGAACACTCCTAAATCATGGTATAACTTTGAAAAGTAGATGCCAATGTGAAATACACTTATTTTCTTTGCTGTTCTGTCTGCAAAGTACGAACATTGAGAATAACCAAAACATCTGTAGGTGAACTGTTTACTTTAATTAAACAGTTACCCTATTGTAGATAGTTTCCCTATGAAATCAACCCAATATATTGCATGATGTGAGAGAGAACATTCTAACACACACCATATGATTGCTCTTTTTTTCTTCCTCCTCCCCTCTCCCACAGCTTAATTTCTAAATGAAGCTCCTGTCTTTATTGAAGAGATCCTATGAGGAAAAGGTAGTATATTGTGCCATCTAATTCTAGAATATGGCTTATATAGAAAATTAGTCCTTTTTCTTAGGGAACAGGTTAATGTCACTGATAGAAAGCAGCAGACAAACCCTTTTGTGAACCAGTGAAACAGGTATTTGTTCTTGTTTCTGTCCTTCCTCGGAGACTTAAAAATTACAAGACAGCTGGCACTGAAGATGTAAATATTCACAGTGACTTTTTTCTTAGTTATTTTTCAGACTTTTTCATTTCAATATCACTCTGAAATAAAAATAAGTTCTTGGGATCTTAAAGGGAAATGTTTGTATATTTATGCATAATCATACTGATTTTTGTGTTTGGCCAGTATTAAAATTTATTAATACTCGAGATCTAATAATGTCTTAGATTTGTCTTGATCAATACCTCTTGTGCCAATAAATCTTGATATTGGTGACACAAATCAATATCTTCTTTGGATTGTTTCAACACAACATGCTGATGTAAACGTGCAATGGCAATTTCTCTGATGACTAATCTTAGCATCCAATCTGGTTTGTTCAAAAAATCCCACTTCCTCCCAAGTCTCATGACTTGTCAGGTTATACTTAGCTAATATCCAGATTTTACATAGTGGGTCAAAAGGAGAGTAGGCCCACAAACAGCTTTTATTTAATCCTCCTTTTATTTAATAGGAAATATTCTTCCAGTTGATTGCAAACTGTGCATAGGTTTGGTCAGAGGAAGGCAAATGTTTGTGCAGGTTTCCCTTGCCAACCACAGTTTTGAGTATCCACACTTAATATTCTATATACCATTTTGGCTACCACAGTACACAGTTTTGAGTAACTATGGTTTTCTGTGGCTGTGCATCAGCCTACCACCTGCCATTTTCCCCATAAGCCTTTTGTCTTTCCAATCACGGTTTTGCCAACTGTGGGAACTTTCAGGAACCTAACCCCAGTGGTTAGCGAGGAAAACCTGTATCTGACCATTGTTGACTCCAATGTTACAAATAAATAAGCCCAATTTCTTTTCACAGTTCAAAATTACTCTTATGCCTCCTTGTACTATAAAATACAGCTGTAATTGGTTAAACCTTGCTTATTTAAAATCCTTTATCTTAAACAAAATATTTGTCCAATGCTTACTGCTTGTGTTTACATTTGGTAAAGATGCACCATACTTCCTAAATCCAGATGTACTCCTCCCTTTGAAATGAATATAAAGAAATGTACAACAAATTCCTTCTTTCAGCTACTTTGATTGATTGCTCCTCTCTCTCCCTCTGCCTTCTCTCTCTCTCCTTCTGCCTTCTCTCTCTCTCCATAATTCTCTCCCCCGCCTTTTCTCTCCTTATCATCTGTCCTTGAAATCAAAACCTTCATTTATTGCTCTGACTTGTATATCCATGCATTACTTCCTTTAACCTGTTACATCCCAAAATCAATGTTTTTGCCTTAATGTCGAATCTGAGCCCTCCCTGGCAGCATGAGCCCTTCCTAGGAAGCTCAACTATTGAAAAAAAAATAAAATTATACTAATTTCATTAAATATCACAAAGTATCAAAGTTGTCAAAACATTTAAAATATTCCAACACAGGTAATAATTTAATTCTATGCTTATTATTCTGTGCAATAATATACAGTGGAAGTTAATGCCTTGATAGATCATTCATGGAAAACTGAAGTAATTACCATCATTCTAATATTCCTATTTAAATGCATGAAAACCTGATTAGCTGAAGGAAGCCCTACTTGCAGGAGGAATGGCATCTGCTTATTATTTATGCTAATGAAAAATACCGTTTACCCTAAAGGTTACAGGTGATGCATGTATTCAAGAAATGCAACTAACATAGAAAAAATATCCAAAGTGCCACTTTAACTTATAATTTGAATTTGGGGCCCTTTGCAGTTCTATATGAGAATGGAACACACACTTTTCTAGGGTAACTTCTCTAAAGACAATTCCATTAACTTAATTACAGTACCAGAATGAACCATTTTATCCCAATCTGTACTGTTTTACTTCAATAAGTATTGGATCTTAATCTAGTAGAGATGTTTGATACACTCAAGACAAAGTGTGATCCACTCTTTGCAAGGTAAAGAGGAGAGGCAGGCAGAATCTCAGTCATGGGCATCAGTGCAAAGCTTCCCGAGCTTGGCAGTTAGCAGGTTCTGCAGAACTGTGATGCCTCCTCTATTCCTTTTCCCCTCACAGCTTAGCGAGAGAGATCCTTCACCCCAGCAACATAACCAGCAGCAAAACTATACCAAGAACCTGATATGAAAGCTAAATAGATTGAGTTCCTTGAGTCTTTCATTATAAGGTTCAAAATCCAGTCCTTTCATCATACTCATGTAGATGTAGACTTGTCTCAGTATATTCTTCTTACAAACTATGGAGAAGTAAAAAAACTGCTACAGAACTTATGATTGGAAGTATGGTCAAGCTGTATTTTTCTAAAATTTGTCAAATTAAAAAAAATTTAATTTGACAATATCTGAAACACAACATAAAGAAGACAATCCAAAAACCGAAGACAGCTCAAGATCCAAACTTCCCAAACCTTACAGGTGTCAAGGTTTGCAGTGTTAATATGGGACTGGTTTTTAATGCATACTACAAAAATATAGAAATGTTATTAGGAATGGATCACTGGAGGCGCTACTTCACTGTCAGGGTGGCTAGGATCTGGAACCAACTTCCAAGTGAAGTGGTGCTGGCTCCACTGTGGTGGGGGTCTTTAAGACAAGGCTAGACAATCACCTTGCTGGGGTCATTTGACCCTAGTACTCTTTCCTGCCATGGCAGGGGGTCAGACTTGATGATCTGCTCAGGTCCCTTCCAACCCTAGTAACTATGAAACTGCAAGCAACTTAATAAAAAAGACTAAAAATAGTTTGCTGAATGTTGGAGGACAGAGCAAACTTATTTAGAGATGCAATTCTCTTAAACCAGTTCAAATACATGGCCAAGAAAAGAACTAAAATATCCTACTCCCACCCCATTCCAGTTGTACATGATACATGAGTTCTTTGATGCAAAATAAGGTGTGGTTTCATTATTTTTTCCCTAAAGCAGTCAGGCATGAGTTCCTTAAGAAAAACAAAAGCTGTTTTTCCCTTGGCAGCTTCCTACTTTAGAAAGGGAAAAAAAAATCTTTTAAATACTGGATTCAATTTATGTACAGCTGTTTATAATGAAAAATAATATATTTTATAGAACAGAGAGCAGCAAGCTGAGAACTAGAAACAGTGTTGGAGATATCATTACATTTTCTCCAACGGTCAACTGTTTGCTAAAATTGTAATGTCAAGTTTTTAAAATATCTCCTGCTCTTCCCAACATAGGTTTCTTGAAATTGCCATATGAAGTTGGCCCAGTGTCCAACATTTATGTAGCTCGTTAATCCCAGTTGTTGCTGCGCTAAGCTATATTCAATTAATCCTCCCATAGTGTTTATAAAACTCTATAATATAGCTCTTTCTTTATAAATTATATTAAAAAACCCCCAAAAAATCCGAAGAGAGAGAAAGAAGGAAGAAAAAAAAAATCATACTCATTCTGCAAGAAAGAATTCATTGTACAGCCAGAAGCAACAACTGATCACCTGGTTTGACCCCTTGTGCCAAAGGATTTTCTGAATTAACTCCTGTTTGAACTACAGCATCTCTTTTAGAAAAACATCCAATATTGATTTACACATTTATAGTGATGCACAAAACATCATCACCCTTAGTAAGATGCTCTGATGTACACTTTTTTTCCAAGTCCCAGTTTGCCAACTTCAGCCTCAGCCCTATGGATCTTGTTATACCTTTGTTTGCTAGCTTGAAGTGTCCTCTACCAACAACATTTTTCCTTGTATATTTCAAGTTACCCCTTAATTTCCTCT